GGGTCGGTTGCCATAGCAACTCTTCGTCAGGGCTGTTTGCGCACGCCATTAAGTTGGGCCCTGACAACAGAAACCAGGCAAGGGTTAATTATGGGGCGTCCATAGTAGGACATGAGAAAACAAACGGACTGGAATTGTGGGGGCTTCGCGCCCATTTTGTAGGAAATGTGTGTTGCGTTGAAGGTTATCTTAGGGGTGAACGTAGTTTTAGGCTCAATATTAAGTTCAAGATTTAGATTTGGCTTCAGCAGGGTTTCAGAATATATATATGCATTTGAACTTTCAGGTGAGACACAGCACGCAGTACTTATTTGGCGCTGACGTTCGTTGTTCCTAGTGAAGTGCACACATACTAGATCAATTCACACAACTTATAATAGTTCCGACGACTTGAGTGCTTTGAAGCGGTTCTTGGACACCACTTTTGCTGGCGTTGTAGAACTCGGAACTCGGGTGCACAGACATTAGTGCTAGATACGGCCCTTATAATTATACTTATAATTGATGTTATTACACCGCTTACTTTCCCTCGTATCTCATCTTATTGACGGTCGCCCTCGTTTTCAGTGTGCTTATTTATGCTGCCATCAAGCCAAGCCAAAATGAGGAGAAGGATTCGGACCTCGCAATGCGAGACATGCTAAATGAAAACGTTGAGAACGCGAGCGAGAAAGATGTGGACAGCAAGGTAGACGTTCAAAACGAGAAAGGTTTTTCGAGGTTTCTCAAACCCATTGGCCAGATGCCCATGGTTCAGCGAAGACTGATGTAAGAGTTGCAGCGTATGACAATGTTTTCCGATTCACCACTTTTTGTGTGCCTTTTATTGCTCCATTAGAATATTTAAAACTCGACAGTTCGACTGTTTGTTTCGGGAAAATCAATTGTGTGCTCCACAGTATGGTGGTGCAGGGACGATAAGTTCCATGTGAGTTAGTTTTAAGCGATAGTAGTCCTGTATTGCATTTACCGCATCCTGTCTTGTCTCACCCACATGTGCTCGGTGTCAAGACAGTCAAGAAGACCGGAGGCTGAATTGCAGTGTGAGCCTACGCCAACTTGTGCCAACACACCTCCCAGTTTCGCTATTCGCTAGGGAAGCGCAACTCGAATAACGGCTGTTGTGCCCTAATCTGATCCCCGTGTTTGTCCAGCGCATGAACCAAGCAGCCCGCTTGGAGGGCACGGAATA